ATTTTTAAATTTATTATTAAAACAACGCGACAATCAATAGTGTGATTAAATAGCTTATGAAAAATTCTCTTTGCAATTTTCCTTTTAAAAATGCATATACCATGAAGCATATATTATTCAAACAGTTATTAGTATACAGTAATTGGACAATTAGTGCATTTTTACCTGTAATTGTTTAATTTATAATGCACATATGTATCTATTAATTTATTATTACAACAACATAAGATGTCGGTAAAGTGATTAAATACATTTATTGAAAATGATCTCTCTGGTCTTCTTCAGTTTGGAACACTTGTTTCTCGTACCATAAAACAATTATAGTTAAAGAAACAATAATTAGAAAAATGCTAATGTTTTACTTTGTAATAATGAAATTAACAAAATATCCAAAACTATTTTCCAAATAGTTTCTTATTTTTTGTCGTCACTTCATTTTACTATTAGACAAAATTAGAATGGAAACGTTCTCTTTTGGTTCGCAACATTTTCTACGACTAAACGAAGCAAATCGTTTGAGGAAAAGTAAAAGGAGCGGAACTGACCGCACCTGTTGTTTTATATCAAAGATAGGTACGTTCATGTATTATCATAGATAAGACGTGACGTGGGTAAAAGCATTTCCCATCTCTTATTCCTTTTCAAATCTCATTCATTTTCTTTTTAAACTTATAGAACACAAGTTCTTGCACGCGTCACGACGCGACCCAATAACCATGACACGATTTTTTTTTTTTAAACGGTAATCTTCATCTCTCTCTCTCTCTCTCTCTCTCTCTCTCTCTCTCTCTCTGTGTAACTAATCGTTAATATTACACTCAAGTAATATTATACTCGAATATGACAATGAGTGTAGGTTGTTTTATTTTCACATGAAATATTTGTATAGTTAATAAAATAATGAAAACAACATAGAGATATTAAAATGTTTTTCTATATCTTGTATTTTTGTCTTATTTTGTTGTTGTCTATCTCTTTCGTAAGTCCAAGCTAAGATAACGAACGTGTAGGATGATACGTGCTTCCGCCCCGAGATCTTCTTACGTCAGCCATAAAGCTATACCTACATGCTTACAAACTTACTTTTCAGTAAAACGATTCTCTTTTTCTCTCTTTAGTTTTCTCTTTAGTTTTATATTTCTACAACTTTTATTCTTACACGTAAGCTATTTTATTATATAATGTAATTCATTGAAAATAATTAGCTTAATTGTGTCCATAATTAAGAAAGTGGTCTAAGTCATGTATCTCTTGTTTCAAGATATTTCAAGATTTCTATTTGAACACTATATGAATTCTATGTAATATTGAAAAAACAAACATTACAATATCGTGAAAATTACATTGAATTTATTTAGTTTAAAATAATGTGGTACGTAATAACCAATAAACTCTTTTTTTTTTTTCATTTTGACTTAGACCACTTTCATAATTATGAGCACAATTATTTCTATATATGTATATATATATGGATTGTTATTAAGAGTTATAAGAGAACGTTCGATAAAATGTCGTGAGAGAATGGATAGATAGCGATAAAGGTGAAATTTATATGAGAAATACGTAGGCGATAACGAGCAACTCGCGTATCTGTAAATAAGCGTTAAGATAAAGGATGTTAATCCTGAATAAGGAGAGAATTCTTGGATCTTAGCCAGAACGTAAAGAGCTAACAAGTTACATTGCACGCCAAGTATTATTTTAAATTTACAATAGATGGCGGGATTTTACGTTTTTCTCTTAACCCGCGAAAATTTGAATTTATTTTTTTATCATTTTATTTTTATTGTAAAATTTTAAAATATTATTTCACGATTATTATACACGTAAAAAATGTTGATTTTATTTAAAACATCTGTCTCTAGGAGATAGATAAGAAAACATAATATATTCAAATTTTAGATAATAATAAAAATACATTGAGAGAGAGAGAGACTGTTATATATACACACGTTGGGTCATCAACGTTGGGACATTTGTTTTATCAATGGTATCACATGACACGTCCGTGGCCTCTTTAGTTAAAAATGTGTAAAATTAGCGTAACAATCAACGGCATTAAATTAGAAACTTTTTAATTCGTTCGCGTCAAACTTTCTTTAACTTTTATTTTTTTTTTTTTTTCACTTTAATTATATAGCTCATTAAAATTTAAATTCATCTGTAATTTATTCAAATTTTTAAGATTAATTCACGATCTATTTCCTTTTTTTTTTTTTCTTTTTTTTCATTTCGTTTCGTTAAACGTTGGATGTTACTTACAAATCTGTTTCGATGAAAAATCTTAATAGAAACATATTTTAAATAATTCTTGCTGTTTATTAATATGAGAAAGAAATATAATGGATAGATTTAGAAAAAGAAGAATAAAAATATGTGTAATGTAAATTTTTTTATTTTTTTTACTAAAGAAGATCGAAGTGTTCGTCGCGATAAAGAGTTCGCACTCACTCCCCGGGTATCGTGAGAGAAAAATTATAAATGAGTCGGAGTAAACAAGCGGTACCAAGCGAGAAAATGGCTTTTACTTGCGAGAAATGTATCTCTATTTTTCAGACCGAAACACTGATCTTCTTCTCTCTCTCTTTTTTCTTTTTTTTTTTTTTTTATACATATTACATTTGTCCTTCTTTCCAAAGTTTTATTTTTTCTTTCGTAGAAACTATTTCGTTGAATTATTAATAACGAAGAGAACAAATATCGATTCGTACGTCAAAAAACGATTAGTTATGTGAATATGTATTTTGTTTGTTTTTCAATCAAAATTTGTCTTTGTATGCACATTCTTTTTGTTCTGAAAGGTGTGTTCGGCGCATTACGTGACTGATCTAGATACTTCGATTATTCGATCATCCTTCGCACGGAAAATCGGAAAAAACTCGATGGATTTATGACTTTTTCTATTTCTCTATCGCTCTTACACACACATACATTCTTTCTAGTGCTTTCTTTTTTGTTTTTACTCTTCTTTTATTGTCCGTTGAGAAAAGCTATTCGAAAGTTTCCGAAGCTCTCTCGAAAGTTCTTCCAAACCAAGAGACGAGTTATGAGAAAGAGCCGTTCCGCTTTTGTTAACTTTGACACGATCAAATAGCACCACACACTACATTTTTATTACTATAGATAGTGTGTGAAACTATCTTACAAATTTTCCCTAGTATCATTTTTTTTTAATTAATTTGTGACGAATCTTCTTTATATACAAAAAACTTGATCAATTGATTTCTTAAATAAACAATAATATTTAATTATATTTCAATATTGTTACAATACTGTTTCTATTTTACATTTTATCCTAATCCATAAATAGATTATTCTCCATTATCGTTTCCTTCTCGTTGTCTACGTTTAATGCAAGATTTAAAATTAGAAAACAAAGTTCAAAGTATTTTTAACTTTCTATAAATGTGTGATAAATATATATGTATATGCAAATACGTGAACTTTAAAAATATGTACTTATGAACTCGTAAATTTAAAATGATACCAAAGGCTCGTTTATTTATGTTTTGCGAATGATTTCTAAGGGAAAACTTTTCTTCAAAAGAATAAGGGAGTCATCTTCATTGTATCCCATTTTTTTCTTGACATTTTTTTATTCTCGAGAGACATCATTGAGTAAAAAGCATCGGATGGTTCGTATGGCAAATCTCCAAAGTCCTATCGCATCGTTTTACGTGCGTGTATGAGTGCGTTACCTAACATAAACCCTTTTATGTTATTTCAAAAAGTAAAAGGTAAGAAGCATAGTATCAGAGTCTTATGCCATTGTCGTTACTCGAGAACATATAAGAAACAATGCGTTTATTCCCTTAGGCATCGAGGTTATTTCGTGATATGACGTTATTTCAAATTCCTCTTATGTTAGATACTTCTCACCCTCTTTAATATCTTCCAACATCCCAGACAAAGCTTTGCTTTTCGATATACCATACTTTATGTGACGTAAATAATAGTATTTTTATACATTTATGTTTGTCAAAATATATACAAATTTCCTATATATTTTAATTACAAAAATAATATTACTCTATTATATTATTAATAATAAATACCATCAAAATAAAAAAAGTAATATTTGAATTCATTTCAACTGACGAATAAAATTTGTTTACTATCCCAACAACGTTACTTGTTTAATCGATTATTTTTATTTACCATTCTACTCATTCGTTTTCAATACATTCTGTATTTAATAATGATTAATAAAAAAAAAAAAAAAAAAAAATGACCAACCTTTTATAAATATATAAAAATATCTGGATGAAATTTGACGTATTCGATCTTATGTCTCAATGGTTGGTGATGATGAAGCGAACTTTAACGAAATGGGGGAGGATAAAAAAGAAGAAAAAATACAACGGTGACCTAAGAAAGAAGAAAGGAAGGAAGGAAGGAAGGAAGGAAGGAAGGAAGGGTGAGGAAGAGTCCGCAATCGCGTTCGCACCAACGAACACAATATCTCGTCGTGTGGAATGACTCGGTAGAAGAAAATCGTGTTTCCTATGAACATGGTGTTGTACGCGTGTACACCAAGAGAAAACAGCAATTTAGTGTCTCCTCCTATCGTGGCTTTAGTCTTATTTTATCGGACCTATCCACTATATTTTTTCTCATAATGTTAGATTTATAACGAATCCCCATAGTTCATTGTTTTTAACCTTTTCAAACGATTTTCAAAAGACAAATTTGTCAAATCATTTTTGCCAAGTTCTTCTTCTAAGGATAAAGATAATTAATAGAATATTCGTTTGCGAATCACTCCGTATATTGAAGATTAAATATAACCGTCAGTTAGAAGTCGAATTTACTTTGATTTTGGTAACGATCCTTATTCTCGGATGAATATATTTCATGTATATCAAATTCGAATTTCCATGAAAACGTTCTAATTCTAACGCTCTAATTTTATCCGTTAGCAATAAAATATACGAGTATATTATTTATTTCTAAATAATAATAATAATAATTAAAAAAAAATAAGTTGAAAAAAGACTTACCCTAATACAACGTGTCTGAGTTCTCCCAATGTTGGATTATAACTATGATCTTCTCCACTAATCCTAACAACACCCTCATCAGCGTTAACATCAAAACCGTTTGTAACAAATTCGATTAAATCTGCAAAATCGTCGTGTTTAACAGTTTTTTCAGTACCCGTTGAAACGTTAATGTCTTTGACAACACTACGCGTGTAAGTAGAAGAAGCATCATATTGTTCTTTACTAGCATTGGTACGTTGTAAAAATTTTCTTCTAAATCCCGTATAAACTGTTTCAACGTTAGGATCATCACCGATTCTTACACGACCATGACTTGGTACCAAATGATGTCCACTATAACCCAAATCCATTTCAAGATCCATCACCAAAAGTAAAGTGAATAGGATCACAAATGCGCTCAAACCGAGCATCAGTTTGTCACGAATTCTGATTATTCTAATCGTCATTTTCATCTTTGTGTCACTCGATTTCGATGTTTGATACTTTATACAATTATTATTATTATTATTACTAATGTAACTTTTGCGATTGTTGTTGATCTTCTCGTCGTTGATATTCTTTTCGATTGAATCGTTTCGTAAAACAGTCACGGATCGTAAAACATTGCCAATTGTAACATTTAAATTGGCACTTTCTTCTTTTATACTTGATCGAATTTCATTCGTACTTTCATCTAAGGGAATATTTTGTTCATCTTCAAAATCACCTATCGAAATTCTCGGTGTTTCTATTAACGATGATAATTGCTCGACTGATAACTTTGAACTTTTAACTTTATTTTCCACTTGTTCTTTTTCTTCTTCTTCCTTCTCCTTGTTCAGTTCCTCCACTTCTTCCTCTTTTTCACTGTGTTCTCGCTGATGTCGACGTACCTCGTTTATTCGTCGTCCTGGCCCTTTTCGTTGTTGCTTTTGCTGTTGCTTTTGCTGTTGCTGTTGATGCCGTAGTCGTTGTAATCGTAATCGTTGTAGTCGTAGTGGTCGTTGTAGTTCTCGTCGTTTCTCTTCTCCTTCTTCTTCTACTCCTCGTGCATCCGACAAATTTGCAAGTTTGCATTTTACGTCGGACGAAGTACTCGAAGCGCGCGCATTCAACTGGTCACTACTACTACTACTACTACTACTATTACTCCTTTTCTGAACTATCGACAATTGTCCAGCAGTCGTAGAAACTTCTTCGAGATCGAATGACTCGTTAGCGTTATCACAGATTTGCCGTTTATGTCTCGATGACCTATGAACCTTCTCTTCTTTTTTCTTCTTTGTATCTACTTGTCTGTCCAACGTTGGAAAATATTTCACTTTCCTTTCTAACTTGCAACAACGTTCTAACAACTTACTTTCAGATTCACTAACATTTATTATTTCTTCTTCTTCTTCTTCTTCTTCTTTTTCCTTTTCTCGAGATAAGTTTGAACGTTTGTAATAACGTTTATGTACAATAGGCGAATAATCGGTTAAAAATGAATCATCATTAGATTCATTTTTCTTTTCAAAACGTCTTCGAAGATTAACACGTTCTTCCAATAAACGAAGATTGTTTTCCGAACGTATCAAATCTTCAACGTCCTCGATCGAAACACTTTTAGATCTCGATGAATCTTCATCGTGTTTTTTATCATAACTCGATACTAACAATTCATTAGGTTTATTCTTCGATAAATCGAATTCGCATAGAAGTGGCCTATTTCTTGAACCTTTTCTTCTAACAGGTGGTACTGGTTTAAAATGATTATTATCCTTGTTTTTTGTCAAATCAATCGAATTATCTTTGTTTTTATTGAAATGTAATTTTTTTGTCCAAAGACGAGGACTCTTACGAATATTTCTGACCAACTTTTCACAACCCTCGGTTATATTTTCCTTGGAAGTTTTGACGAATCGTTTGATAAACGAATCGTTTCTTTCAATTTTTTTATTCGTAGTCTTTCTAGATTTATCTTCTTCTTCTTCTTCTTCTTCTTCTTCTTCTTTTTCCTCCTCGTCGGTAGATTTTTTCGTTGGTTTTATTCTTTCACTCCAATACTGTCTGATCTTGATTCGTCGTTTAGTTATTTCGGTTGTTTGAGTTTCGACGGATAAATCGAACACTGATTTCGATCTACGTATCTCATGCACCTCCCCCTCCTTTACTATCTTCCTCTTTAGTTTGAAATTTGAATCGTTGCCTTTGTATATAAGGCGGTCCAAATTTTGTGATCTTTCGATTTTCGATCCATTTCCTTCCAGACATTTCTTCCTGTCCAGAGTTATTTTCAATTATGAACGATTGATAAAACGTTGCTGGATCTTTCTGATCCCTTTTATTTATTTATTTATTTATATTTTCAAAATCAAACTAAAAAGCACTATTATCTTTATCTATCAAACGAAAACTATCTCACAGACTTTGGAATGTATAGTAGGTTCTATCTATTTATCACAGACACGGTAATACGAAACCACGAAGAGAACGCTGCTAACCTTTCGAGTCCAACACCTCCGCACCTGAAAAATAAAAATATACGAGAATTGAGAAAAATAAAATGTTCAATCTTATACATATGTTTTCTTCTTTTTTTTCTGCTTTTTTAAATATATCGCGTATATGTTTCTAAAGAATATACGAGTATGAGCCGTTTATTTGGAAAGTTTCATAAGTTGCAAGAGTTGTAAAGACTACAAAATTCATTGATATAAATATAAAATCCCATGAATATTCCTATCTGTTAAAAAAGGATAGACGGTAATCCACAATTTCTTCTATTCCTAATTTAAGATTTAAATATGCGCGGCCAAAGATGTAATAGCAATAGGGCTAATAGGTTAAAACAATAGAGGGATACGAAGCGTATCCGGGATAGAACAGTCGATATAGATCAGTCGATAAGCGCGGACGTATATACACAATTAACATAATTGAATATTGTGAATTATACTATTTTATATCAATTATAAAGAAAAATAAAAAAAAGTAAAATTGTAACACTGTTGCTAATTAATATAATATAAAACCTGCCGAATCCGCTGCATATTTTCTCAATACAAAGAGAAAATTTAACACTATCCCTGGTGAAAATTATTAACGATGATAATACGAACATAATAAATAGATGTTATCGAAATGATTTCATAGAGTTAAATCTAGGAAAAGGATTTCAGATAGGATGCTAGAAGAGGAATCTAGAAAAGAGGAAAAGTCTTTGAAGATATCGAGTGTGAAATAGAGTGACGATAATGGTTTGAGACCGGCCATTATGGTTATCGCAAGGTCTACCTTCGTCGTAAAGGCTTGTCGCATCGAAAAACGGAGGAAGAGGAATCACGATCGTAAAGACTCTTCTTCAACTCCCTATCATCGCATTTTAGAAAATGTGTTCTGGTATACGCGGAAATGCGGGTTATTCAATATTTTTTATCGAAATGCTAACCCCATTTTTGAATTTCCCGCTACGTCCGCTTATACCTTTCTCTCTCTCTCTCGCTCTCTCTCGCTCTCTCTCGTATCTATCGCAGAAAAACGTTGTTCTTTTAAGTATTACAGTCAAACACCCTGTACCTATAACGCATAAAGACGATACGACGATAATAATGATTTATCGTTCGTTTTTTCTTTTTTTTTCTTTTTCCCCTCCCACGTTTCCTTTCTCTCATTCGTAAACATTTATGTATCTTGCTATAGAGATAACGAAATCATCCTGACGAATCTACTTACAAAGTAATAAAAGAATAATAAAAGTCAACTACGAATATACGAATATACGAATATACATCATTTTTATTTGCAATTTTTCATTATTTCCAATAAATATATTACTACTATATGACATATAATAATTATATAATATTATCATCAATTTTAAATTAAATTTTTATTTTTATATATATACTCGTATAATACATTTTTTTTTTTTTTTAACTGGCACAAACTTTCCAACTTAATGGTACGTGCATTGAAATTATTCCGGAAAGTTTGCGTGCAGATTTTAAAATAAATTATATACATATATATATTTAATAAAAATATTAATGAAATATATAATTATAAGTCGACAGAAAACTTTCCGGGCAATTCAACAAACGTTAAAAGATAAATTGAATATTTATTATACTTCTTGAATTTAATTATACTTAATCGACTTCTATTTTTCTTTTTATTTTCTCCTTCCTCAGTTTACGAACGTGATTTCATTTAAGTTCTATTTAAATTTGCAATATTATCGTTTTTAAAAATGTATCTAATATACATAAAAAAGATTGTACGTGGTAGAGCATTACGATCGATCGATTCGGAACGTATAATATAAGTACTTTAAAGGAATAAGAGAGAGAGAGAGAGAGGATAGTTTGCTTAAGTAGAAACGTCGATGAGTCTAGCTATCTTTATTATAGTTGAATAGTTGAGTAGCAAGAGAGAACAGAATCTCAATAGCATATTTTACTTTTTATTTTTCCTCCTTCTTCCCCCTCCCCCCATTTCTTTCAGATATTTCTAATGGAAAAAAAATATCAACTTTTCCATTAACAATATGAATTATTTTTATTTATTTTTCGAATACATAAAAATATGTATTATGGAAACTGAATCGACAAAAAAAAAGCAACCAAAAAGAAGATGTAATTAAAAAAGAACAAAAAAAGAAAAAAATACCATATATCATTGAAATAATCATCACGGTTACTTTCGTTCTAATAAATGGTTAATTCATACGAGTGAAGTAATAGTAGTAGTAGGTTAGTGAAACGATTTGCTACTGCTACTACTATTACTTGGCTTACGTAAACGAGTTTAGAGAGAGAGAGAGAGAGAGAGAGAGAGAGAGAGAGAGAGAGAGAGAGAGAAAGAAAGAAATAGAAAGAGAGTGAGTGCAATGTTATATTTTTAGTATTGTACGTTATAATAAGCGGAAAATGTATGCCGGATAGAAAAAGGTGGAAGAAGAAGCCGAGTGCAAGTGCGTTGCATACTACATATTCATGAAGAATATATTGGAGTCTGAGAGAGATGGAATCGTATAAGAGAGCTGAGTGTAAAATAGAGGAAAAGAGAGAAAAAGAGAATATGTAGAAGCCGAATAAGAGACACCGTACGTAAGTGTATGCCAAGCACTGGTACGTAGTCGTGGATCATTTAAATACTGCATCGAAATACAACTAAATAAAGCAAGAGATCGAGCTCATGCTCGGAATATGAGATCGAATTTGGATACGAAATGTGCCCAAAATTTTCTAACCCTAACATTTTTATAATATACACCTACATATCTTTATTTACTTTTTTATATAATTAAATAATTACAAAAGTAAATAATTTGAATGACTTGGTAATAAGTCGGTAAATGAAAAATCTTACGTAAGATGAAATCGTAATGCGTGCGTGCGTGCGTGCGTGCGTGCGTGCGTGCGTGCGGGCGTGCTTACAGGTATTCAAAAGTAAGAGTGAGAAATACTAGAGTAGAAATTTCATTGACGAGTAACATAACAAGACAGCGAACGACACGTATGACTTTAACAAAGTCGTAACCATAAAGCAAATTGCTTTGCGACATGTTGTACCTAGTGAGAGTAGTTCGCTTGCTTTTATGTACGCTTACTAAATTACCATTATTTGCTTATCTTTCAACGATTAAGACTCGATGTTTCAAGTTTCCCTAAGAGACTGAATTATAACGTTAACACAACAAGGTCTTAATACGATCATTCAGAACAAATATATTATAAATAATTTTAAAAAAGCAAAAAAAACTGAAATTGATCGTTCATGGAATAACCCTTTTATAGCAAATTTAACAAATATCTTTCTAAAGAAGTGATCTTTGGCGTTTAGATGGATGAAAAATCTTTATCTTTCGGAACGAAGGTAATAAGAAATGAAAAATCCATCCACTATCGAAAGACACTCAACGAACGAACGAATGAACGAACGAACGAACCAACGAACGAACCTAACATCTCTTTTCCTTTTCTCTCACGTCACATTTATCACATTCGTTTCACCATCTTTCCATTCTTTTCTCTCTCTCTCTCACTCTCTCACTCTCTCACTCTCTCTTTCTTTCTTTCTCATTCGTTCAAATAGAGAGGCTTTTATAGAAGACGCGATCGTTGACACATTTAAGTCGATCCTTTATCAAACGAGAAATTGCGTAAACTTTTTCTTCTTCTTTTTCTTTTCACGAAAGCAAAAAAAAGATGAGAATAGTTAGAGGGAGGGTGAGTGGGTTAGGTAGCCAGTTGGAAAAAGAAAAAGAAAGAATGGAAAGAGACAAATAAGAAAAAAAGGGTGTTAATGTGTATGAAGTATAAATCGATCGAATCGAATTTTTTTCTTTCTTTTATTTTTATTAATATTTCCGATAGAAGGTGCAACGGGTTGGGTGAAGCGAATTTGTTTTATTTTTAGGAGGTATCAAATATGAGAATCGCGTTGCTGCCAAGAGTAAATACTCTAGTGACGTAACTAATAGTTTGCTTGACAGTTCCCTATCTCTCATTTTCAAATATGCATACATATATATAGATTAATTTATATAAATATATATATATAAAATACTTAATATATATAAATTACGTGTCTCGTTGTTTGTCCGCAATGGACTCCTAAACTACTAAACCGATTTTAATCAAGTTTTGCACACTGTGTGCAGTTTCATCCAACTTGAAAGATAGAATAGTTTATATCTCAATTTATAATCGCAATATTATTTTATTGCGAATTATTTGTTGTTTATTAACAAAGAGTCACGATTATCTCTGTTAGTTTGATAAGATTCTAATAGATGGCGGTATAAGGTAATTCGTTGACTTAAAGACGTGTGTATCGGACTGATTGTGAGCCACAGCAACGCGTAACGGGGCACCCCTAGTTTAAATATATATATTAGGGTGGGTCAAAAAAATGACTTTTTTTTTTTCAAGTGCCACGGAAAAATGGGTTGCTAGACACCTTAAAACAATTCTCACCAAATATGAGCTCTTAATTTTAATATTTTAATAGGAAGATCCTCCGCATCGCAGTTTTTTATTTTTTTTTTCAGTCCAATAGATTAAAATTCATACCTCATTATTTATTGATTGTACAGAAAAATGTTCTAGACGAATTTTGTAGGAAATTTAATGCTCTACAAAAAAG